CAAGGCAGCTAAGACTTGGGGAGTGGAAAATGCATAACAATACACGAGACTAAAACAGAAAACACGGAATGGCTCGGTAAGGCAGCTAACACTTGGGGAGTGGAAAATGCAGAACAATACACGGCCATCTGAACAGGAACTGAGAGAGTGTTAAATAGTGTGTGTAATGGCTCTCAGGTGAGCGTGTGAAATGTGACGGCTGTGTGATCAGTGAATTCAGCTGTGTAAGTGCAAGTGAATGATGGGAACTGTAGTCCGGAGTGACATGTAACAGACTGTGTAGTGTGAGAGTCAATGTAATGGTAGAATGAAATCTAGTGGCAATCGGCCGGAAGGCCACGGACCGGATTCGTGACAATATCAACTAGCGGTCATTCGAGTATTAGTATTTCTGCTACTGTAAATATTTGCTAACACTTTATTTTGATGGTCAACCAACAGATAAACTGACTATAAGTGTCTTTGCAAGTACGTCAACTTATTCTACCATACTAGATTCTATCATTCTTGAGCATACTAATACTCTAATGAGAGTTAGTTGGCATGTAGTTGCAAAGTTGCTTATAGTCGATTGATTAAGGGGACCATCAAAATAAAATGTAACCATATAAAACATTGCATTTTTTTCAGTTGGAGTATAAAGCTCACATCAATTAATTAGCATTAGCTCCACAGGAAACACTCAAATAACACTCAACATCTAACCACTCAGAAGCTGTAGTAAGATACTGTGCAGATCTTAAATAAACAATGTCAAGATATGATACAGTCCATTATTCTGCAAATGAAGTAGATTTAATATGGTGTTCATTTTGTGTTATAAATAATCATACTCTTAAACTTATAACCACAAATACGTAAGTATTATGATGTATTATAACTGTTGTTATGATTATTCATGAGTTGATATAACATATTAAAGTTTTTTTATAATGCATTATGCATTCATTATAATGCCTTAAGGATACCCTTATAATGTATTATAAATACGGGCTTCATAGAAAGTGTTACCCAATTGTTCTGTAATTCAGGTATGTTTATTCAGGGAAATTTATTTCACTTCCCAAAGAAGTACCTATAAATAAAAGCAGGGACAAAATTATCCTCAAATGGCTCACATTAAGCTTTTTAAAGAGCCATGTTGCCCTGTCTCACATTATTTTTTTATTCATTTTTGTTAATGTGTTTTATTATTATTATTATTATTTCACTGAGCATCCAATATTTTCTTCCCACTTAGTGACATCAAAAGCGTTCTCCAGGATCCAAATCTGAACTTGCTACAACGCTGCCTCCTTGTGTCTCGGTAAGTGTCAGTACAGCAGGGTTGTGCACAATTTTAATTGAGAATGCATTTCGATTAATTTTCAGTGTTAGAACCTTCTTGTATTTGTTTGTAATTATTCCTATTTAGGGGTCACAGTACCTTTGATCCTGGAACCCTATTGTATTTAAGATTTTATGTTTCTTTTTCTTTTAATTTTTCTGATCCCTAAAAGTGTCAGTACCACAGAAACCATAAATCATCTTAATAGATAACTTAATAGAATCATTAAAACTCCACCAAGTTAGGAGTCTCCCGCCCCCATTATTCAGGCTCGTGCTCACACACATCCACACACTAGGTGGCACTACAAAAAAAAAAGTTCATATTTTGGTTCGTATTTCTGGAACTGTAATGGAAAGTCACACACTGACTTAAATGTTCAAAGCTCTCACAATCCAGACAGGTTGTACTTTACCTCTTTTCTGAGGTGGATGTTTTCAGTCCTGGTTCTGCACACTTAATCTGTGAGACAGCTTTGGCACCGTCTAGACTGCTGGAGCTGGAGCTGGTGCCCGGCCAAGTGTGGCAATCGTTCAGAACCTGCTTGCATTTCCACTGGCAGAGAGCAGAACCGTCTACGTCACCAACATATGACCAGAATCGCTTGTTATCTCTTGCAGAAGGAGAGCGTTGGTCTCTTCTGCCGACCACTGCTGAACTGACACATTTAATTGTTGTTGTTAATTTTAATTTACCTGAACTCTGGCGGCTTTTAAAAATGGTGCCTTTCAAACTGTGGTCTGTAGTAGAAGCTCCGCCTACTCACGTCATAGGTTCACTTGTTCGAGACCAGCAAGGTTTCAGGGCCAGTTTGGAGCCAGGATGTGGGGACCAGCTCAAGATTTTTTTGAGGGGGAAAACACAGCTCAGTTCCCAATTGGGCTCTGGCTCCAACACCAGCCCGGGTGAAAAAGCGGTATTAGAAAACTGTAATGTATACACTCAGTCAGACTGATAATATAAACAGAAGTCTGCACACAACTCTAGTGGTAGTTTGCAAAGTAGTCGGGTGTCATGAGCAGCAAATTATAACTTCACTTCTCTCTCTTTGCCAAGGGTTTCTAGCATACCAACAAGAGATCAAACATGAAGACAATAAACTCACAATCGTGATAGCATATGGTTTATCTGTGTTCTTAAAGCCATCTTGGGTATTTTTATAAGAATAAAGACTATTGAAAAAGCAAGGCTAATCAACATATCATTTAACACAGTATAGAATACTATAAAATAATATATCTGAAGGCCGTCTCTCTGTCAGCCTTCAGTCCAGACCTGAATAAAATTAAAACTGCTTCGAGAAGTTTTCTGTCTCAGGCAAAGAAGCAAAATCGAATGATATTTAATGGACCAACATTTTCTTGTTTGAACAATTGAACACCTAAGAACACTTTATTTTAAAGAACACTATTATTTACCCTAGACTCTGCAAAACAGAGCTAAACTTCAACATGTAATGCATAGATTCAAATTTTCAATACTTATTTGTTATTTATTGTTTTTATTTTATTAATTTTTATAAAGATATCTGATAACAGTTAAAGAAGCAAAATCGAATGATAATTAATGGAGCAACATTTTCTTGTTTGAACAATTGAACACCTAAGAACACTTTATTTTAAAGAACACTATTATTTACCCTAGACTCTGCAAAACAGAGCTAAACTTCAACATGTAATGCATAGATTCAAATTTTCAATACTTATTTGTTATTTATTGTTTTTATTTTATTAATTTTTATAAAGATATCTGATAACAGTTTTGTGGACCTTAATGGTGTTCATTGTTTTGCGTGTTTAGACTTTGTTTATTCGTCTATCCTCCCTTCCTTCCTTCCATACTTCCTTTAATATTTTCATGAGTCACATAGACTAGAGTGGACAGATGCAAGATCATGCAAGATCAAACATTCCATGCAAGATCAAGCATTGCATTTTACATGGCAAGACATAGATAGCCTGTCTAGAATGCTGTGAATACAGATGAGGAGTGATACAAACAGTGCAGCATCCCAGTGCTGTTAAACTAAACAGCTTCACTTAAATATCATACTGCTTGTTATCTCAAATTAATGGAATGTAACAATGTTTTTGGCTACCAATAAGTGGAGTGTATAATATTTAAAGTATTTTAATTTTTTCCACAGTCAACATAATTCCTTTTTTTTTTTTTTTTACAACAATGTCAAATATGTGAAAAAAAATGTGTGTATAATAGCTTCTAACTCTCTTGACAGCAGGAAAAGCCTCATTCATTTTTTTTTTATTAGGCTGTTTGGTGATGAATCAGACCTTCAGTTTTGGACGGTGGCTGCTCATTACATCCAGTCTTTTGCCCAGAGCTGCCAGCCCAGCGGATACGTCCCAGAAGGCCAAACACCAGCTGAGGGCCCTCAGAGCAGCCACCTGGACATTTGCCACGACATCCTATGTGAAAGCTCTTTCTTCCAGGTATGAGCTGCTGACAGTTCATGTACTGAAAGTGTCATGAAACCCTAAAACACATTTTTTGAGATGTTAACATATATGAACAGGTTGCACATCAGTGAAAACAACTTTAGCAGTCATTATGTCTATTATTAAGGTAAAAGTGGTTATTTTTTCATTTTCGTTCTTCCGGTTGAGCCTACGTCACGGAAAGTGACGTATATGCATTAATCTGGAGTGGTGATTGGCTGCCATGGCTGGAGAGTACTTCTACGTCATCAGTTTTCAGAGCTTTTTTCAGTATTATTCATGAGAGTGAACTCTTAAGATCCAACCACTGCGCTGTATTATGCATGAGGTTGTCTTACAGCGGACAATTCAAATCTCATGCAACAGCTTCCGCGCTCAGTCAACCTCTGTAAACATGACCGTAACAATATTTAATATGTAACAACACGTGGAGCGCGCATGAGAGAGCAGTTTCTGTGCTGAACGCCACGACGAGTTTAACAACACTCGCTGCGTGGATCATAGTTCATATCCGGACCGGAGCAAGCGTTTCAAGTTTATGTGAACATATTTCATATTCTCCTGTGCTCCAAACATGAACCAGCACGAGCAACATATCATGTCTTCAAATAAAAGATGCAATAAGGGCATTTGCTGATACAGCGGCAGCTGCGGCTCGTCTGATCACGAACGCGATGACACGACGAATTATTGTGATACACAGCAAATGATACAGACCAAAAAAAATTCAAAGAGGAGTAAACAGAAAGTAACTGCCTTTATTCTTTCTGTTTTAAAGATATGTTAATATTCATGTGTCTGTATAATGAGTGTGTTGTAGGTCTGTGTTTTATTGGTTGTTTTCTCCCCTCTCCCCACCCTCTACACTACCATTTTTCAACAGTTTTACACACCCATTTCTGGAGTATTTTTCAGATCCAAGGTGTGAAAGACCAGTGCTGAAACGGGGGTTTCATGACACTTGAACAACACATTGTTATGGATATTATGGAAGAGAATATTATAGCCGCAGCACCAACTAGAGAAGAATGTCTTTGTCCCCCTGCTTGGTGTTCACCCCAAGTGACCTCTCCACTGTGAAATTAATTGTGTGTTTTTAAATAATACTATTTCAAACATATTTCATGTAAATTTAATCTATAATCACTCTCTGGGGCCAGAGTTGCCTATTACGTTAGTGTCCACAAGGGGGATGCCACAGTCCAGCACGCAGGCAGGTACACGCAGGTGAACTGCTCATATTTGATGTAACAGGTGGAATGATATTTATGTTTTGGTTGCAGTGCGAGTGCATGCCAGGTGGTGACAGGCACGGGGGTGTTGGGGGTCCAATAGCCAAGATAATTTTGACTCAGTCCAGAACACGCTGAGCAATGTAGCCAGTCAAGTCAAGTCAAGTCGCCTTTATTTATATAGTGCTTTTAACAATACAGATTGTGTCAAAGCAACTGTATGGCATTAATTAGGAAAATAGTGTGTCATTAATTCAAAATGACAATAGTAAACACTCAATTTTCAGTTAAAGACAGTTCATCATTGAATTCAGTGATGTCATCCTCCAGCTCAGTTCAGTTTAATTAGTATCTGTGCAATCAAGTCGACGATATCGCTGGAAATTAAGTGTCCCCAACTAAGCAAGCCAGAGGCGACAGCGGCAAGGAACCAAAACTCATCGGTGACAGAATGGAGAAAAAACCTTGGGAGAAACCAGGCTCGGTCGGGGGGCCAGTTCTCCTCTGGCCAGATGAAACCAGCAGTTCAATTCCAGACTGCAGCAAAGTCACATTGAGCAGAGGACTCGTCTGGTTCCTGTGGTCTTGTCCCGGTGGCCGTCTGAGACAAGGTCTTAAGATGTCAGGCGCTCTGGCTCCCGGTAAACATTGGACTATGGTGGCTGGTGTCTCTATTTTCACGTTCCGTACAATAGAATCGCCAATAACTAGAGCACTTTGATCAGGTTTCTCAGTGGGTGCGTCACTGAGTGGGGAGAACCTGTTTAATGTTTTGATCGGAACGGAAGAGCGGTATTTTGACCCGCGACTATGCCGCCTCACAGTCGCCCAGCTGCGGAGTCTCTAACCGGAACCGAACAATGTACAGGACTCCCTTAGCTAGTCGCATCCAAAGCCGTATCTAGAGCCCTCACATTCTTACTGTCCTCAAGAAGCCACTACTCACCGTGATTGATGAATGATTCTGACTTACCACTGTTGTTTGATGAACTCGTGAAAAAACGGAGCGAGAGAAAAAAAGAAAATGGCAATAGACGCGAATGGAAACGCAAATGACAAGCTAACCAGCTAACGAATGCTAACGCGCTGCACTCGCGGTTTTAGAATAAAAGCGAACAATCAAATAAATCAGATTAGTTTGATATATAATATTAGAAATAAGGTGGGAGTTAAGTTATATTTTAACACTTTAAACAACAGAGAGTGATAGTAAGATAGCGATTCAACAGAAAAGTGGAGCTACAATCACAAACCACTCAGCAGCACGACAGACAATCAAGCTGCCACTGATTGGCAGCTGTAGTGATTATATTAAAGGGAGCACTCTTTGCTTGCTTTTTGTATTTAATCTATTCACAATTTGAATAAAAGTTTTAATAAATGAGTTTTAGGTACCCCATGTAGGAGATTTAATGCAGGTGCAGTTCGGGTCACAGTTTTTAATGTTGGGTATAGGATTAAATTAGGGTTGCTGTCGGATAACGTGTCGGGTGTTCTGTCAATTACTGCAGGTGTGAGAAGTCGTGACCAGTCCAGACCAGTCGTGCTGCTGCATTCTGCGCATGATTGGAAGTACAGCCAGAAGGGCCTGGACAAGAATTTATGTAGCATGCTCTGTTGGGAAGACCTGACCTGCCTGATCGAGCTGTCTTTACAATGTGGTCAGCTGCTCATTAAAGAATAATTCTTGATGAGCCTAGCTGAATGGTAAAATCATGCTGTAGAGTTGGAGTGGCAGGGAAGACAAAAAGCTCCGTCTTTGCCAGGTTCAGCTGCAGGTGATGTTCCTTCATCCATGCCGAGATGTTCGCCAGGCAGCCTGAGATGCATGCAGCTACTGTTGGATTGTCTGGTTAAAATGAAAGATAAAGGTGTGTCATCAGCATAGCAGTGGTAGGAGAAACCATGTGCTTGTATAATGGGTCCCAGTGATGTAGTGAATATGGTGAAGAGGAGGGGTACAAGAACTTAGCCCCAAGGAAACCCTGTGGCCGGTTGATGTTCTTTGGATACCTCTCCTCCTCAGGAAACCCTGAAAGACCTACCTGTGAAATAAGATTCAAACCAGTGGCGTGCTGTTCCTGTGATGGTAGACAGGAGAATCTGATGATTTTCAGTGTCAAAAGCAGCAAATAGATCCAGCAGAATGAGAACTGATGATTTGGAATCAGCTTTCGCTATATGCAGGGCTATAGTGACCGAAAGTAAAGCAGTCTCAGTTGAATGGCTGCTTTTGAAATCTGATTGGTTAACGTTCAGTTGGTTATTCTGTGAAAGAAATAATGTAACTGGGTCTATAAACGTGTGAACCAAATACTCCTTTCCATTAGTATAACAAAGGAATAGCATTCCTCAAGGAACGTCTTGTAGATTGCAGGATCTCCAGCGGGTGGTCCTAACAGTATCTGTTGTTTGTAGCCTTTTTGTCTTCGGGTATAAAATTCTATCCCACAGACAGAACTTTGGGAGAAGCTAACATTCTTACAAGGGTTAAGATTGTTTGAAGGATGGAATGCTAACATCGCTACTGAAGAACTGATACATTCACGAGCCACCCAAACGACTGCTCAGCAAAATACAGTAAAGGTGGTGATACATGGGGCAACTTTTTAGGTTAGAAGGGGTAGTATGCACTGGCCTGTCTAGACAGATATTAATATGGATCATAAAGTGTCAATTGCTGTATTCACATCTAGAGATGAGAAATGGGTAGGTGAGGGAAGAGAGGATGACACTACAGAGGAAAGATGGGAGGGTGTAAAGGAGCGTAAGTTTCGCCTAAAAGTAACTTGTAGAGGAATTGGTGGCACACAGGTAGTAAGATGTAGGTTAAATGTAATAAAGAAATGATCAGAGATGTTTAAAGGTTTTACCAAAATGTTGTCTGATACAATTGCCTGTGTAAATTAAGTTGAGGTCATTGCCTGATTTGTTAGTGCTTGTAGTGGTAAGCCAATTGAGCAAGGAAGCAAGGAGTGAGTGGAAGTCTGCAGTGGAAGTCTTCTCCAGATGGATGTTGAAATCACATTGAGGAAAAATACACTTACCTGAGTTTATATATGTATATATATGATTGTATTCTTCAAAACAATCTTTTAATGTATTATTGGTAACACTTTAGAATACTGTTCCGTCATACTGTTCCATCAATAACTTCACAGGAACAAATGACTAATGCACTATTAACATTCTAGTAACTACTATTAACTAAAAAGAAACTCTGATTAACAGTTTAGTAAGTAATAGCGCTCAGTTGAAACTGGTAGTTCACTATTAGCTAATCAATTACTACTATTTTTTTTCATATATCCTGGAGAACTACTAAGAACTACTGTATACAGGTTCATTAATTAATGTGAATTATGCATAATTTATAATTAATTCTAAAGTGAAGATCATGGTAACCCACTAGTAATGACTCAAGTACTAACAATACAACAATACAACAAATAATTCTAAAGGAACTACTGATTACTTGGATCATAGGGATATAACAATATCAAAATCTCACGATACGATAATATTGTGGTATGAAGTCCACGATACGATATTTATTGCGATATTTAAAAAAATAAAATACAAATGAAGAATTGGAAAAATAAAATTAATATTTTATTTTACATTTTAAAGTTAAATTATTCTGTCTGATGCACTTTGAGAGTTCAAAATTAAAAGCTCCAACCCATGTACTTAAAGGTGCAGTAGGAGATCTTGGAAAATGCTAACTTTAGCCTGATAGCACTGAACGCGAATGTCCCACCCTCCCTGTAAATCGCCGTTCAAAGCCACGCCCCCTGAACACATATACGCATGCAGATCAGACGATCAGAGACAACATTACTACAATACATCATGTGTCATTAACCGTTGAGAAAACTTTATAGCACAGTTAGTAAACGTACTACAATACCAGGAAGGAAGATCAGGTTGTTGATGTTTGCCTGCCATTCTCGCTCCGTCTGCGCACGTGACCACGCTGATGACGTATCATTTCTGCGCGAACCAGGTGCGCAGAGGTATGCAAATACACATGTTGACAGGCAGGTAGGAAAGTCAATCAAAATGCTCGGAACGAGCATTTTGATTGGACGAACATTTCTTGGTCCTACGCCTTCCATAGAATATATAAATACAGATAAATGCATTTAGACCACTTAACTTAATAAGATTATGAGATGTATTATTTGAATGCATGGCCAAAGATATGTGTCTTTAATCTAGATTTAAACAGAGAGAGTGTGTCTGAACCCCAAACGTTATCAGGAAGGCTATTCCAGAGTTTGGGAGCCAAATGCGAAAAAGCTCTACCTCGCGCAGCGAAAACAGACTTGATGAAGGGATTAAGCCATATATTGTGACTCTTTTTGTATCTAATAGAAAATTTGATTTTTAAGTTATGTTTTTTTTTTCTTTTTTAAGTTGTTCATAAAGTTGTTGTTCAGGTATAGGTGATGTTAAATATATAATGCTCTTCTCCATCCAAGTTTTATTAGCGAGTGGGAGTTTATTGATAGTAAAATCTAGATTATTCCATATTGGTGAGTAAATATGTGATGAAAGAGAATGACCAGTTATTGTATTAGTTTCCAACCAGACTGTTAGTGTTGTTTGGATTTCTTTGTTAAGATTTAGATATGTTTTTTAATGGTATTGTTGAAGCGAGATAAGTCAGATATTGTAATTTCCTTGATTGTTCAAGTTGAATCCATGGGTTTTGAAAGTGATTATTATTGATAAATTTGGTTAAATTATGTAACTGAGCTGCTAGATCAGTGATCCACTTTCCTGCAGAGTTTAGCTCTACCCTAATCAAACACACCTGAGTTTGCAAATCAATGTCTTCAGGTTCATTAGAAAATCACAGGTAGGTTTGTTTGATTATAGGGTTGGAGCTAAACTCTGCAGGAAAGTGGATCTCGTGAGCCAGATTTGAGGATCACTGTGCTAGATGATAATATTGAAAATTTTTGTAATGTTCTTAGTGCAATTCTTGGTTTTTGATTTTTCCATTATTGTTTATTATGCTGTCAGGAATGTTAAAGGGGTCATATGATGTTGCTAAAAAGAACATTATGTTGTGTATTTGGTGTAATGCAATGTGTTTATGCGGTTTAAGGTTAAAAAAACACTGAATACACAGGCTGAATACCTCAAGCGTGTGACGGAAATGTTACGCCCCTTACCATACTGTGATGCCGTGTCCCGGCACAACAAGACAAAACAAAACCAATAAAACCCATTACAAACAAGGCATTTGTTGCATCCAGTGGGGACATAATTACTGATTATAATGACTTATACTGTCTTTTTACGCGTTGCGTTGGCCAGACTGTCCTTGCAAAGTTGGAACTGCCCCACTTTATAGAAACAGCCTTTGCAGAGACGCATTGTAGTCTACTCTACCAGGATCAGGAAACAGTACTCCATAAAATGCACATCTGAATATTTGGGTTGAACTGTTCTCGAACAGTGTTGTAAATACAACTTAAACACTTCTAGTTGTGTCCTCTTTTGGAAGGCCAAAGAAAGTAGTTTGCTTTCACAACGAAACACACAGCGTCACACTCGGCAGGCTAGAGTGAGCGGAGGCCGGCGGGCTAGAGTGAGGAACGGCCGGCGGGCTTGCGGCAACCACATGTGACAACCCCGGGCTGGACTCCGCTTCGTCCACGGTGAAAGCC